TACTCCCCCTTTTGTGTATCTTAGTTACTGTTGACGAGAGTAGTTCGGCACCTAATTCTAAAGATATCTGAAATTTCAGTAGAACGACAGTAAACCTTTAAACCCTCCATCTATGTTCCAAAAGTTTTGAGGGGGAATTTTAGGGCTAGTTGTAGTCTGGTAGCCCATTTTGGTTTTTGTTTCAGCCAGCGACTTAACCGAAACGTATGACTACTAGACGTAATTAACATCATTAAACTTAGGTGTGTTTATGATGGCATCATTTTTTTATCGATAATAAGTCTATTGTTCTTAGATAACCGCAATAACTATCGATCTTGGTAAACATATTGTTTGGCGATTGTATCGCCATCTATTATCGACTTTATGATGTACTATTTAATATAACGGTAATTTCATATATCAAAGAAGGAAGATCTACTTTCTGACGGTATTCGGGTGTCCTTTTTTTCTTTTTTATCCCACGTGTTTTCTTAGTGCCTGGATGTGCTAACTGAAACATGAAAAAATATACAAACATGATGCCTGAAATGCCGCCGATAAAACATCGTAACAAAGTTGAAACTATGAAGCAAAATCGTAAATTTCCAAACATATTAAAGATTAAATGTAATGTTTGTTATTGTAAAATCATAAGTTTTTGGCTTGTTTTCTTTACTTTCCACATTATACTGAGTAATGCTATGTGTTTTTTGTCTTTCACCTAAACTCGGTGTAAAGAACTGTCAAATAGAACCCTAGCGGTGATTAGCGGCACTTATTGCTATCGGTCATTCTGAGGTTAAATGTTTTGTGAAGAAACCCTTGAACAAATGTGTCACGTGCCTTGGAATTATACTGATTCTACCGGAAAATGCCACACGTGAAGACCGAGAACAGCCTTAAAATTGCATGAAATATAAGATGGTATATACGCGTTGACTTAAAAACTAGTTATTTATGTTGTAGGTTTTTTTTTTTATTATTCAATGCACACTTTTGTAATATTTCACGGCGATAAAAAGTTTGAGGCTAGATTTAACTCTTAAACCTTGTTTACATTGCGACGATATAGATAGAAGTATGAACCTTGTGTTCGCTCGTATTGGATATCACGAGCCATTATCACGTGATTCTTTCTGTGGTGGTGGTGTAAGTTTCAAACACAGAAAACACATTAAGTTAATTAAATTTTGTTAAATATTTAGACTTTGAAAGCATGAAAGAGGTCAGATACAAAACGGAAAAAATTAAGACAGTAGGTCATCAAAAGGATAGTAAAATAAGAAGGTACATGATCAAAGGATAGTAAGAAAAGAAGGGCACACCATCAAAAGGATGGTAAGAAAAATAAGACAAGGTACATGACAGCCTCTGGCTTTGTAGAACAATCTTTAATGATAGTTATATTTCAGGCAAACTGTTTACAAAATTTTGATAGCCCCTAACTTACGTCAACATAAGTACTAGTAAAATAGACCAATAGGGCAACAAGCTGTTGGGTTGTTTTTAACTGTAGTTCACTGACAAGTTCAACAAGGCGAGTGAGTCCAGTAATTGGTGAATGCCCCCTCTTAAGTCCTGTCGCTTTGCTTTAAACGCGTTAATCTGTCATGGTAACGTGAGACCAAGTTTATCCGCTGGACGGGAGCCAATATCTGCTGGATAAGGTTGCGTCGTCGGTTGGTACACAGTGCTCCAAAAACCAAGTTTACTTCTTTTTTAAAAATCTCGCATATTCGGTCCGTCAGTAAATTATTGGCGACAGAAGGTCGTGGCGAAGCTTAAAATCTGTGCTTTACGAGGTGCGTGTTCGATCGAGCGTGTGTAAGAACATGCCTAATCCGCTACTGAGTGTACACACTTGTCATGCCATTTATAGACTGGATTGTTTCGAGTTTATTCGTTACATACTGTGAGGTAGATGTATTACAAATCAACGCGAGATAAAGACAGAATCTGTTAGCGTTGGAGGCTTCAACGCTGGTGTATCATGTTTGGACACACACACTGACTATTTTGAGCAGACAAATTGAAGAATAGAAAATAAATGTAAGCAGTATAGTATTAGTTTAATGTATAGAACAAGTCAACGACAAAAACCATCGAGTGCTTATTTTATCATCCTCTACAGCTAAAATGAATTTGTATTCAAATTTATAATACTATTTAGGGTATTCATGATAAGCGAGACAAGGGCTAACTTTTGATTAATAGGCTCATCTCCATCTCTTCAGATGCTAGAAATCGAATATTGGGATTTAATTATTGCCTTTTTTAATAGAATCGCAGCCCCAAAAATGCAGAGCACGATTCTGTGGCAATGGGGTGGGAGACTATAGTCACCCCCCCCCCCCTGGGATTCACAGTCCAGCACGCTATTAGGCCATGCCTGGACAAAACACAAAGGTCAAATTCTGAAAATTGCTTCTAAGAATTAAAACCGTGAGGAGGGGTGGGGGTGTGTGTGTTAAAACCATCTGTCTTCCTGTGACTGAAATGTTTACAGTTTGTTTATAAACTTTGCATAGCTGGTTTTGTTCGCTTACTGAAAGTTTTTAATCTCTTCAATAAATGCCGTGCTGGAATTTTGTACCTACAGGAATTCAATATTAAAACTATTCCAATCATTTCTCTTTGTGTGAGTCTTTGGATTAGAGTTGAACTGGTAAGGAGATTTAACAGCAAACCAAAAACACTAAAAACAAAAGTGTGTTGTTAAACCTAAACAGGATAAGACTAAAAACTTAGTATGTTACTTGCATATATCATAGGTCATATCTGGAAAATTTACTGTTCAATTCTATGAGAAAACATAACACAAACCTACTATAAAAGAGAAAAAAAAAAACCTTTTAAAATAACAAATGATTAATAAAAAGTTTATTCACCTGTAAGGTGTTTACGATTAAAATAAAATTGTTTTTGTTTTGTTTTCATCTTTTACCGTAGATGAAATTTTGTTTTGGATTTGGGGCATTTTTTCTCCCACTCCTCCTTTCTTTGACCTGGGCATCATCTAGTGGTTAGAGTCTATGATTCGCATCTCATTACAACAAAATCATGCTCTGTATTAAACGAGTAATGGTAAAGTTTCAATATTTTATTAGAGTAATCCAGGAGCTGGTGGTGGGTGTTGTTGACTAAGTGCCTTTCCTCTAGTTTATCAGTGATAGCTAACACAAATCCCCTCTTATTGTCCGAAATGATTTGTTTTTATCTTGATTCACTTAAGCAGTTACATTACAATACCATATTAAATGCGAGGTTCAAAATATTTGGATGTAAACAAGTCTGACTTTACCAAAAGTAAGTGACTCACACCCATATTTCACACAGGCACAGAACATTTATTTGAACAATATTAAAAAACAATAATACTATTGTGTAGCATGTGAAAGATGTTTATGGTCAGTAATACTTGCTCTTCATACTGGTAAAGTCTGCTCTATGTAGTGGCTACTGGCCTATTAAAAGACTTGGTCGAGGGTGATTTTGATTAGACAATGGCTATTGGACTGTCACAAGATTTGGAAGAGGGCGATTCTGATTAGACAATAGCTATTGGACTGTCACAAGATTTGGAAGAGGGTGATTTTGATTAGACAATGGCTATTGGACTGTCACAAGATTTGGAAGAGGGCGATTCTGATTAGACAATAGCTATTGGACTGTCACAAGATTTGGAAGAGGTTGATTCTGATTAGACAATGGCTATTTGACTGTCATAAGATTTGGAAGAGGGTGATTTTGATTAGACAGTGGCTATTGGACTTCACAATATTTGGAAGAGGGTGATTCTGATTAGACAATGGCTATTGGACTTCACAAGATTTGGAAGAGGGTGATTTTGATTAGACAATGGCTATTGGACTGTCACAAGATTTGGAAGAGAGTGATTCTGATTAGACAATGGCTATTGGACTGTCACAAGATTTGGAAGAGGATGATACTGATTAGACAATGGCTATTTGACTGTCACAAGATTTGGTTGAGGTTGATTCTGATTAGACAATGGCTATTTGACTGTCACAAGATTTGGAAGAGGATGATTCTGATTAGACAGTGGCTATTTGACTGTCACAAGATTTGGTTGAGGTTGATTCTGATTAGACAATGGCTATTTGACTGTCACAAGATTTGGAAGAGGGTGATTCTGATTAGACAATGGCTATTTGACTGTCACAAGATTTGGTTGAGGTTGATTCTGATTAGACAATGGCTATTGGACTGTCACAAGATTTGGAAGAGGGTGATTTTGATTAGACAATAGCTATTGGACTGTCACAAGGTTTGAAAGAGGATGATTCTAGTTAGACAACTTCACAGAATGGAGACAAGACCAAATCTGACAAAGAACTTTGTTTAGAATTATATTACAGTTTTTACCTTCATAACTTGGGGCTTTGGAGAATGCCACATCATCAAGCAAAAACCTTTTAACAACAAAAGGAATTCAGAGTTTCCGACTTCTCTCATCTCTATGTCATAGCTGTATCGAGGAAAAATAAAGATGGATAAGCAGCTAACCCCCCTTGTTTTACTTTGGTGGTTGAGGTTGAAGCCAGACAGTGGCATGGTAGACACTAAGATCTTGTTAAATGATAAGTGGTTAAGATCTAAGATCTCCAACACTTTGACACCACCTGTTACCAAGATACCAGATAATTAAGACCATCTTAACAAATTATCCAGTGAGTTGGTTAGATGTGAGAGTATAAGTGTTATGTCTACTCCACAAATTCACGTGACCTCCTTCCATAAAGGGAAGATTAAGACTGTTCTTCAACAACTTGTAATTAAGTACAAAACCTGTACTCAGATTCTTACTAATCGTATGAGTAAAAAATATGTCATTAGATGGCTTAGCTTAAGACACCTGCAGAGGAAACAATAAATGTTTAAGCTCTGTTGTAAAATATACAAAAATAGTACATTTTCTCATTAAACCAATTTTTTAGCATGTGTTTTTTTTTAACTTAAACTTGGTCTTGTAACTCTTGTGTTTCCTTCTGTTTCAGAGTAAGAAAGATGTGTTAATGGTCAGTGTCAGATGGTACTACAGACACTGCGAGGTTCCAGACACTGTTTACCAACTTCTAGTACAAGACAGAAACAATGAAAATGGTAAGCGTGTGATTTTCTAGCTGAGTAGTGCACACACACACACACACATGTTTTATTTTTCAAATTCCTTATTATAGTGTTAGGTCATGTAAAGTTAGTTTTTTTGGTTAGGCAGGTTTATAAGTGGCTTTGTAAATTGTGGGTGGTAACGTTTTTTTTCATCCTTCTTCCAATTAATAAAGAGAACATTGTTTAGAATAAATTATGATTGCTGCAGTAGCAAGAGCTAATCTACATCATATGTTTTGTTCTTGTTGAGTGGCCTGTGAATAAACATTGCTTTCTTGTATGACCGTGGTAAACAGTTACCTAGTAACCAAAGAAATTAAAGAGAAATGTGTTTAAAGTTTCTCTGCCCAACAACTTTTTTTTTTCACATGTAGAGTGAAAATATCTTTAAAAGTTCTTGTAAAGATTTTTTGCCACATTTTTGTAGTATGGTTTTGTTCCTTGGATATATTATGTGTTTGTATTCGATGTATCACACTAGAAACAGGTTAACCTTGATCCTAAGTTAGCAAAATAGTTAGTGATACAATGTTTACATATGTGCAGTTCAATAGAAATCAACTGTTTTAGGCCTCAAAAAACATTATGGAGTTGCATTAGTATAATTTAAACTCCAGCTTCAAGAAAATTTAACATAGCTTTTACAGTGATCTGTTTAGTTTTTAGAATGGCTTGTGTGTTATAAATAGTTTTAAATGTTTTTCATGCATAGTTGGTTGGTTCTTTTTATGAACCCTTATTGCCCTTTTTAACAGTTTATTTAGTTCAAGGTCATCATTTGGGGTGGGGCAACAGAGGGGCTCAAATGGCAGTCACTGTGAGACATTTATAGTCAGGGTGGATTAACACATAGAAACAAATTACACCTTTAATATTGTACTCCCAGCTGAATTGTGAGAGGGTTCCTGAAGCCAGTTTTTTTGTGTGTTTTTTTACCTCCCGCAAACCTTATGTGAAATGTTGCTCCTGGTCAAATTAAAATGGTAATTTAATTGCTGTTATTTTAGTAAGTGAGATTACTTTCAGTTTAGATTATTTTTGAACTTAAATACCAAGGCATGCACTTTTCAAAAAGAAATACAAATAAGAAGTCAATGTTTATATGTGGGTTTTCTTTTACAGTTTCATGTGGTATATTTATCACTTTCCAAAACAAGGCATGTTTACTATTAGCTGTGTAAAATGTTAATGTTATTTCACAGAATGTTGGAGGATTTCTTGAAATATTGTAGTATAGAAAACGTATTTTTAAATGGGCTGTAAACAATATTGTTGAATTTATCCTAGTTTCTGGAAAAGACTTAGTCATCCACGACCCTGTAGTCAAAACTAGAGAACTCTTTATTTCTGACGCTACTGACTGTCATCCAGTATCAGTATTAAGGTAAGGGTTTTTACACTTTACTAATTAATATATTATTTTGCATGAAACATTTATAAGAAAAAAAGTAGAATGCTCATATTATTTCTTGACATTTTACCAATAATATTATCTTATGGAAAAAAAAAGCAATTAACATGAAATATTTAAATTTCTGAACAATCTTGATAAGTTTTAATCTACCATAATTAATGCACTGTGTCATTTTTCATTTAATTTTGATAAGCCATATAATATTTCCCTCAACAGGTGGAGCTTTGAACTTCTGAAATTTTATCACCATTAATGAGTTTGTTATGGAAAACAGTAGTAAATATATCTAGAATCTTTTGATATTTGTAGAATATTTGTAAAATATGAAAAATGAAAGTTTCATTTTTACTGCACAGCAAAGGAAACATTAACTTATTTTGCAATTAAGTAGAAAGAATCTTTTAGAATAAAATTTGTTTTGGTTATGGTTTGTGTGTGTATAATCTAAAGTTGATTACCAAGCTAGCTCTGATAGGCCTCTTTTACAAGTGGCAGTGTAAGGTTGATTATCACGTTATCTCTCTTGGCTCTATTTTACAGAAGGGGGACTGTTAAAGTCAAGTACTAAGCTATCTTTCTTGGTTCTTCTTCTCTTCTCTTTTTTTATTACAGAGAGCAGTATAAGATCAAGTAACAAGACATTTCTCATGGTTCTTTTTTTACAGGGGACAGTATATGTTTGGTAAAAATCCATTTCTCGTGTTTTTCTCTTTATAGGGGACACTGTAAGATTCAATATTACCCTGACATATTTTCTGCCAAAGATTTTCTGCCAAAACAAGATACATTTTTCTACATACTTGGTTACAACCCTGAGACTCGCAGGCTGGCTAGTACACAGGGGGAAATTCGGGTTGGCCCGAGTCATCAGGCGAGGCTGCCTGAGTGCCAGCCTCATCTCACGCCCCGCGAAATGCCCGAAAAGAGCGAATCTCTAGAGGAGCTCTGCTGGTCTCCTGGTGTTCCTGATTGTGATCTGATGATGTATCTTCGTGCTGCTAGGTGAGGTACTTAGTAGTGACAAAAACATCTTTTAAAAAAAACAAGTTTATGTTTATCTAGCATATCTTATAAACCATTTACTCAAACGTTTTTCTAGATTTTTTTTTTTCAAATGTAAGGTCATTCTAAAGACATTCAAGTTTACAATTCTGGTATTATTTTTCTGGAATCCACTTAAATAATTTTAATTGCATAATATTTGATTCTGAACTACTGTCGAGAATGTGCACGTAAACGTCTTTGCCCCATTTTTAGAAGCATGGCAGCCTTTGCAGGCATGTGTGATGGTGGATCAACAGAGGATGGTTGCTTAGCAGCATCAAGAGATGATACTACCATTAATGCCATGGACCTGGTAAGTATCAAAAATAACTTAAGGCTCTGATTGAAGTGCCTTTTTATTGAATGGAAATCAAAAGTTAATCTATACTTCTTTAGGCCTAGACTTTATTAAAAATGTTAATGTTAACTTCTTAACATTTCTCCTGCCAAGTAATTCCAACAAATAAGATGTTAAAACTTTGTTGGAGTTACAAGAATAAGCTAAGAATAGACAAGTGATCACCCATTGAAGAGCAATGATGATAATAACCTGTTTGCTATGTTTGTGAAGTCTTAGACAGTTAGAAAGGAGAAAACACGAATGATAAGACAATACGCTAGGACTAAAGCATAATAAAATCTGAAAACATAATTAATTTCTGTGAGAAAAAAAGAAATATCTGGTCATTACTTCTTTCAAATAACCTTAATTGAGAAAGTGGTCAGTGGTAGAAACATTGAATGGAAATTTCTCTTCTTCTTGTGTTCATTTTGACCTATTGTTTCTATTTTTAAGGATTGTATTTTTGTGTTTTTTTTCAGAGGTTGGAATGATTGTATTGTTTTAAGCTATATTTTGAGTATTGTAAGTTACATTTTTATTTGCTAGAGGGCACATGACAATATCTAGAAAGTTTATGAAAGTTAAGGCCTTTGTAGAATCTAGAAATGTCTTGCAGTATGTAGAAACAAGGGTACAGTACGGATAACCAGAATTGGTGAATTATTCAGTTCGTTAAGCAGTGAGCTAATGAGTGAATCACTTCAGTGTCAGTCAATGAGTTATTCAGTTGGTAAGTTAAACTGTGAGTTAGTGGGTGTGTTATTGATAGATTAGCAAGGAAGTTTTCAATAAGGTTATTCCATATTTTCTGTTCAAGCATTGTTTGTTAAGTTAGGCCTACAAGTGAATACAGCCTGTAGCAAATATTTTTTGATGAAATAAATTAGTTAGCAGTAGGTGGACTGAAATTGGCATTATCTTACCAAATAATCCACAAGACTCTACCCAATAATAGAACACTTTACAACAGCGTATTAATTACACACACTATGAATGCAAGATGACTGTTTCTCACTTTTTTCATTATTAGTTTTAAAAAACACAGTTCAGGAAGTTCTGTTCTCTTGATCTTCAGTTATTTCTAATGTCTTCCCATCAAATGTAAGTTTTTAAATTTTTTTTCTTGGTGTATTTTCAAAACATCAAATTTAATTTTTTTACAAATTTTTTATCTATTCATCGGTTTATATATTTGTGGCTATTCGTCTTTTCTGTTCCTCTACCTATGTACTTGTTTCTGTCCATCAGTGTATTTTGAGGATAGATACCTTATATATATATATATATATATGCAAAATGCTCTTGATAAGCCCATTTATGTGCACTTCTGTTGATACATTTTTAGTGCTAATTTTCAATCCCAAAATATATATATACACACAACGAAAAATGGAAACTTGGAAGCATGTAGCTAAAGAACTTACAACATCTTTCTCATTTGTTAAAAGTGAAACAAAAAAATGAATATTTAAATAATTAGATAATGTTTGGAATCTCTGAAGTGTTCCTTCACTAGTGACTTCTGTACTGGCTTGAGGATGAAGAAAAGTTTTTTTTTTTCTCTGTGCAAATACAATGTATGTAATGATCTTACAGAACTTACTATACTATAAGTGAACACATTTTTTGTTTATTCTCTTTTTATACTTTCATATTCTGTTAGCATATGACTGTATTCCTTTTAATTTGGGTCCTCCCTATATATATGTAACTTGACATAATGTTTTGGGACAACATGGGACCTATTGGTCCATCTCGGCTGTTACATCCTCTTAACTAATTTAAAATAATAATAAAAAAATCATAAAGCCAGCCCTTATCATTCATATACTTATCAAGCTTTTTCTTAAACTCACTTAAATTTACTGCCTCTACAACATCTGAAGGCAACCATTCCGAAGGCCAACCATCCTGTTATTTCAAATTTTCAATCGTCTTAAAATTTATCCAATTAGTATCACTTTCGTTATTTGTGTATTTTTTATTGCAGCATTTATTTTGTTTTGAGTACTTCTTATAGCAATTCTACTTATAACCAACGATCCTACTTTTCCGTTACAATTTTAATTTTTTTACTGTGTTTATTTGTTCCGTTTTATGTATGTCTATGGAATGGACACATCATCTATAAACTTTTAGTATAACCATATCCCTGATAACTATAACTTTTACAAGAATTCAAACCACAATCACAAGTTTATAAAATGTAATCCTTACTTTTGCTTACAGATAAGTGTATAAATCTGCTAAAGTAGGGATTATATTTTATAAATTTGTGATTATGGTTTTAATTCTTATTTTATCATTTTTTGTATCAGGATCCCTACTTTATTTTGAAAGTTATAATTTTTAATATCAGTGTTTATTTTTTATGTTATAACCTGTATAAAGTATATACTTTACCTTTAAAAACTGTCGCTTGTCTATCCATAAATATATAGCGCCATCTGTTGGTTTGAATTGGGTTTAAATTTAGTTTAGTACGTGCATGATGTATTTACATTTATAAAAACTATATATATATTTATTGGAGTATCAAAAGCCGATACTCACAGACCTGTGAAGTAAGCTGGAGAAATCTTGTAGTGATAGTCCAAGCCCTCTGGGGGATAGCCCCACTGACGTGATCATGTAGGTAGTAGGTTGTAGACGAAAAAGTCGCTGTTTTAGTAATTTAGCGACCTTTTTAACGTATCATTAATACATATGCACATAATATATTGTAATAAATACTTTGAATGGTCGGTTTTTCGAGCGTGAATTATTTGGAAACCTTGTTGGTTCTTACCACTAAATACTACCGTACTTAATAATAGTGGTATTTCAAGTAGTTATGTATTTTATAAATACAGCTTCATGAAAGTAACTATGATACCGGCAAGGCTCTTCAGGCCCTGGTCAGGAATCCAGTACCACGGGGGATCAGCAAGAAGTGGTCTGAAGAAGAACAAGTAAGTATTTTGCATAAACAACCATATTTTTAATTTATTAAAACTGCCACCATGTTTACAGGTGGCCTTTTCAGGAGTTGCTTATTTTTGTATGTTATAAAATTAATTTACCGTATTAGTTGAGCAAATAAAAAAATTCAATCAGAATTAGCAAAATGGACTATGTAGCAAGGAAAACAAAAATTAATATATTTACTTTCTTTGCTTTAGAAACGATTTGTGAAGGGTTTACGGCAGTTTGGGAAGAACTTCTTTAAAATCAGAAAGGAATTATTGCATCAGAAAGAAACTGTAAGTGTCGCCCATTGTTTTCAATACTATGATTAATTATATATATATATATATATGTATATATTGCTCCAAAAATTAAAATTCGATTTGATTTTTAAGAGATACAGATTTTTGCTCAGATGTTCATATTATGTCTAGTAAATTAGATATTCTGATTTTGTTTAATATAGGTAGCTTGCCTGCTATATTTTTTTCTTCCAGTACCTTTTTTCAAAAATATTTCTATGAAGTTGTTATTTGTTATTAAGCACAAAGGGCTATCTGTGCTCTGCCCATCCGGTTTCTAGCAGTATAAGTCTGCAGACATACCACTGTGCCACTGTGGGGGGTCTATGAAAGAAATAGATAAACAATTTAACGATTTCCATTCAGAAGTTTTTGCCCCCCCCCCCCAAACAGTGGTATGTTTGCGGACTTACAACGTTAGAAACCGGCTTTCGATACCCGTGGTGGGCAGTGCACAGATAGCTCATTGTGTAGCTTTGTGCTTAAGTTCAAACAAAACAAACAGAAATTATTTTAATGCTTACCCTTTTTTTTGTTAAAAAAATTCACTTAGCACCATTTTAAGGATTTCGTGAAGTTTATTGTAAAATACGTTTTTGATAGTGATTATAGCTATTTATAAATAAAGTGTTTCCGCTCTCTAATCTCTGATAATGTGTGTTACGCTTTTCGTTAATTTAATACAGCACGTAAGAACACCAATAATTGTTAGTGGACATACCAGTTAGACCATGGAGAAGAAAATTTGTAATTACCGGAAGAGGTTTACATCTGGCCACCATAACTCCGAAACTTGGGATGACGTGATAGAGAGCTAACTGAAGCTATCCAATATTCAACATGGATCACTACTCGATATTTGGCTGTGGGATTCCTAAAGATAGTCTGGTATCTTGGAGCACTTTGCTATACATTGACGGAATGGATAAATGACATCCATCAATATGCAACAATTGAATATTGGACAGCTTCTTTTATTTCCTGTTACGTCATCACATAGATATAAGCTTTCTTTGACACGAATGGTTGTCACACTGAGCAGTTGTAATGCCCTCTGGTGACGATCATTATGGATTAATGTTCCCAATAGTTTCATTGGTATATCCATCAAGAATTGTTCAGCTGTGGGAGAAGAGTTTTCATTTTATTTCTGTTTAAACATGCCAATATACCATTAAGGAACCCTGTTCGTTGTTTCATAACGATAGTGGATCCAAACTTTATTGTTGTTGTTGTTTCATAACGATAGTGGATCTACACTTTGTTGTCGTTTTATAACGATAGTGGATCCAAACTTTAGTGTTGTTGTTGTTTCATAACGATAGTGGATCTACACTTTATTGTTGTTGTTGTTTCATAACGATAGTGGATCTACACTTTATTGTTGTTGTTGTTTCATAACGATAGTAGATCTACACTTTGTTGTTTCATAATGATAGTGGATCTAAACTTTGTTGTTGTTGTTTCATAACGATAGTGGATCTAAACTTTGTTGTTGTTGTTTCATAACGATAGTGGATCTACACTTTATTGTTGTTGTTGTTTCATAACGATAGTGGATCTAAACTTTGTTGTTGTTGTTGTTTCATAACGATAGTGGATCTAAACTTTGTTGTTGTTTCATAACGATAGTGGATCTACACTTTATTGTTGTTGTTGTTTCATAACGATAGTGGATCTACACTTTATTGTTGTTGTTGTTTCATAACGATAGTGGATCTAAACTTTGTTGTTGTTGTTGTTTCATAACGATAGTGGATCTAAACTTTGTTGTTGTTGTTGTTTC